CTTTCTAGCTCACACATGATTATAAAACAATGTCTTAGAAGTCAATTCTGCTTTTTCAATTAACTTTTCCAGTAGAGCACTCAATATTCAAACAATCCTTAGTTTCCAAGCAGACAACTGTCTTTTTAAATGCGTTATTCTTGTCCAACATAAAACAACAGGCTATGTAATTTTAATAGTAAAAAGCAATGAGCACAGTGAGGATACTGATACATTTGGCTGAAAGGAACACAGGAGCACAACACACTAAAAGGGAGCTCTTGAGATAAAGCTGAAACTTCCTTACACAAGCATTCCATTCTGAAGGATCTGGTCCACATCTGCCTCTTCAGCTTCATCCCACACCACCCTCCGCTGCTCGCACTGACTCTTTTCTTCATTCCTTCACTATGGCAACCCCCCACAATGGCCTCTGTATATACAGGTCATTCTGAGTATTACATGCTTCTGCTGTCTGGTAATAAAAGAAAATCACTTGTAAGTGAAGGCTGTACTTTTGTTTCTGATCACCAAGACCCGAATAATCACACAAAAACTATATTAATTATAATAATATTTGGCCTATTAGTTCAGGCTTCTTATTAACTAACTCTTACATCTTAAATTAACCCATTTCTACTATATTGTATTTTACCATGAGGCTCATGGGTTGTGATTTCTTGCTTCTTGGGAGGCTACGTGGTATCTGTCTGACTCTGCCTTCTTTTCTCCTCTATCTCTGCTTGGATTTCCCACCTGGCTATATTCTGCCCTGCCATAGGTCAAAGCAGCTTCTTTGTTAATCAATGGTAATAAAACATATTCACAGCATGCAGAGGATAATCCTCACTTTTAATTTTCACATGTCAGTGCAAGGGAATCTCTGTTGATCACCCTAATGAAGGGAATCTTATCTTCAGACTCTCACATTCAGGCTACTGTATCATACCATCTTGTTCTTTCTTTTCCTCCTTAACAATTATAAAATATAACCCACTTCTGGCAGATGATCTCCAAAATATATAAAGAACTCAAAAAAGTAGGCATCAAAAAAGCAAATAATGCAATTTAAAAATGAGGTACAGACCAAACAGAGAATTCTCAACAGAAGAATCTCAAATGGTACAGAAACACTTAAAGAAATGTTCATCATCCTTAGCCATCAGGGAAATGTAAATCAAAATGACTCTGAGATTCCCATCTTACACCTGTTAGAATGGCTAAGATCAAAAACACAAATGACAGCTTATGCTGGAGAGGATGTTGAGCAAGGGGAACACTTTTCCATTGCTAATAGGAGTGTAAACTTGTCCAGCCACTTTGGAAATTAATATGATAGTTTCACAGAAAACTGGGAATCAATTTACCTCAAGGCCCAGCTATATACCATTCTTGGGCATATACCGAAAAGATCCTCAATCACACTACAAAAAGACACTTGGTCAACTATGTTCATAACAGCTTTCTTTGTAATAGCCAGAACCCAGAAACAGCTGAGATGCCTCTCAAATGAAAAACAGATAAAGAAAATATGGTATATTTACAAAATAGAATATTACTCAGCTGTTAAAAACAATGACACCAGAAACTTTGAAGGCAAATTGATGGAACTAGAAAGAAAAAATCATTCTGAGTGAGGTAACCAAGACCAAGAAAGACAAACATGGTATGTACTCACTGATAAGTGGACAATAACCATAAAGTATAAAGGATAACCATGCTCCAATCCACAGACCCAGAGAGGCTAGGTAACAAGAGGGCCCAAGCAGGGGAAATGCATGAATCTCCCTGAGAATAGGAAATAAGAAAGCTCTCCTGGGTCGATTGGGGGAGGGTGAGCATGGGAACTTGAGGAATTGGGTTGAGAGATGTGTGAAGGACGAGAATACTTTAAGAGATGACTAGAAAGGGAGCACATTTCAGTGTCAGATAGAAACCTGGTGCAAGGAAACTTCCACGAATCTACAAGGATGACCCCCAGCTAAGACTCCTAGCAATGGTTGATACATAGCCTGAACTAGCCATTCCCTGTGATCAGATTGGTGATTATCCTGGTTACCAGCTGAGAGCCTCCATCCAGTGCCTGATGGAAGCAGATTTAGAGAACACTTGGGAGTTCTGCTGAGGAGAGGGAGGAGAGATTGTAGGAGCCAGAGGGGTCAGGAATACTGGAGGAAAACCCACAGAAACAACTAACCTGGCTCACAGGAACTCACAAAGTCTGAAGCAACACACCAGGAAGCCTGCATGGGACCAACCTAAGCCCTCTATATATATCCAACAGTTATGTAGCTTGATGTATTTGTGGAACTCCTTTGTAACAGTGGGAGTAGGGACTATCTGTCCCCAATGCTTTGGCAGGCCATTGGTAACCTATCCTCATAATGGATCACCTTGCCCAGTCTAAGAACAAGGAAGAGGTGCTTAGTCTAATGGCGACTTGATGCTCCATGCTTTGCTGATAACCATGGAGGTCTGCCCCTTTCTGAACAGAAACAGAGGAGGCGTAGGTTGTGGGGGGAATGAAAGCGGAGGAGCGAGGGGAAACTGCAGTCAGCATATAAAATAAATAAATTAGAATTAAAAATTACAGGGCTGGAGAGATGGCTCAGTGGTTAAGAGCATTGCCTGCTCTTCCAAAGGTCCTGAGTTCAATTCCCAGCAACCACATGGTGGCTCACAACCATCTGTAATGAGGTCTGGTGCCCTCTTCTGGCCTGTAGGCATACATGCAGACGGAATATTGTATAAATAATAAATAAATAAATTTTAAAAAAAGAATTAAAAATTACAGAACATAATAATAACATAATTATTTATGTGTTTTTATATCTCTGTTCACTAAAACATAAACTCTCACTAGAATATTTTGCTCACCACTGTTTTCTTTATTATTATTATTATTTATTTTATATCCTGACTGCAATTTCAGCTCTGTTTTATTTTTAGCTGGCACACAATTATTTTCTGAATTAAAAAAAAAGTGACCTGAATTGGTAATGACCAGCTAAAAACTGCCTCTGTAAAACACAATGACATTTCTATGCATAGAACCCTAAACTAATAACCACAGAAAGGAACTGGAAACATTTCACAGCTGCATTATTCCTAATAGTAAACATCCAGAAACAGCCAATCTGCAATAGGAGAAATGTATAAGCAAATTATAGTCTATGTACATTAGGAAATATTACTTAGTGCTGTTTTATTTTTACCTATTTGTTTTAAGGGACCAATAACAGGACATCTAAAAATATTCTGTGAAAGAGTAAACAAAAGAGAGCACATTCCACACGACAGCAGCACAAAACATCTATGGTGGGATAAAGTGGAGGAACGGCCACTAGGTTGGGGTTAACTACAGGACAACAAAACCTGAAATGTTCTGTGCCTTGATACGACTGGGGCTGCAAGAGTTCACACAGTTAGGAAAACAGATGAAACTGCCCACTATATGCATTTTGTTTTGGGGACAAGGTCATACTCTATGGCCTGTGATCTATCTACTCAACCTCCTGATACTCATATCTTTTTTCAAAATGCAAAAAGTCCTAAATCTGTTTACCCAGGTATCACAAAAGATGCAAAAACACAAATAGAGGACCCAGACTACACCTGCTTTCATCAAAATCTGCATATTAATTTATTCATTTGTTTCCTAAAATCCATTATTGTGACACATCCAAGCAGAACTGGACCAAATTAGTGGATGAATTATCCTGCGAGGAAACATACTGAGAAAATGCCTATTACTATGAAAGATGGATTGTTTTTTACTTAACTGCAAGCACACAAAACTTTGACAGGTAGCATGAACGAGTTTATGAGGCATGACAGAACGACTAGATAGAGATCAGGTGCACCAAAGAACGATGTGACGTGACACACCAACCAGGAGCTGTGTGCTAGCCCTAAAGACACAGGCTGAAGAATACTGAGGTTTTCAGCTTCGCTCTACTCTCAAAAGTAAGTAAGTACAGAAAAACAAACAAAACAATATTCATATGGCATTTTGGTAGCCACTGAGCTAGTGAAATAAAGAATGCGCAATGAAAAGCTAAATTTCTTATTTTATTCAATTTAAATTAAGTTTCACTTTGAAACATTTTCGGCCAGTACAAAGTATGATTCTAATAACTAAATATGTAAATTTATTTTTAAGCAGTTAATTTTATTACATGCATTCATTTATATATTTATGTGTTTATGTTTATGTGATTGGATACACATGCCACAGCATACATGTGGAGGTCAAAGGACAACTTTAAGAAGACTGCTCTACCCATCTACAATGTGGGCACTGGGGATCAAATTCAGGTCATCGGGCTGGAAAGCAAGTGCCTTTACATGCCAGACCATCTTGCCATTCTTCAACAAAACTTTACAATAGTTCGTTATTAATTTTCCACTGACTGTATTTCAAAAGCTATTTTCAAAAGATTTCAAAGATCTCTTAAAATACACTATTAAAATTAATTCTATTTGTTTTGTTTACATTTTTAAAATAATTTCACTTGTTTCTTTTCATAATCAAATTTTACTTTTTTTCTTTTTCTTTTCAAGACAGGGTTTCTCTGTGTAGCCCTAGTTGTCCTGGAACTTACTCTGTAGATCTGGTCTTAAACTAAGATAGCCACCTGCCTCTGCCTCCTGAATGCTGGGAAAAAGGCATGTGCCACCACACCCAACACAAATATTACTTTTTAAATTACATTTTTATACATGTATTATATATGCAGGCATGTCTGCACAATCTCAAGTGAATGCCACAACACACATGTGAAGATCAGAGGACAACTTATAAAAGTCAGTTCTCTCCTTCTACCATGAGTGTTCTGGGGAAGGAACTGGGGTTGTCAGGCTTGGTGGTAGGTACATTTACTTAATGAGCCCCACCAGCTCTACTCTGCTTTAAAATACATATATGGTATATGTTATGTTTCAAATGGACTGTACTGTTCTAAAGGCAGGTCAGCAGTATCACTACCACGCATGAGCAAATACTTCAGACATCTTCTGACCTTTGTACTTGATTGTCTTCTTTTCTTTAGCTGGATGAAGTCTGTTTCCACCCTTTCTGCCAGTTCTAATTTCCTCTTGTTCCTTTTAAAAGCAGCTAAGCTGAATCCTACAAAAGAGAAAAACAAAAATAATACTTGAGAATTATTAGAGTAAGAAGGCCAAAGAGATAATTTTGAAACATCTTCTTAGGAAAAAAAAAAAAGCACTTAAGACTGTTGAACTGCTGCTTTTACAAAGTCTTTCCAAGGTACCCTGACAAAACTGGAAAACAAAACAAACAGTACAAGTTTACAAAATTAAGGAAAAGATCAAATCAGAGAAACAACTGAGTTCTGAAGGGAGACAGGGCCCGGGGAACCTGGAGACCCTTGACCATCTCCATGCATGCCTAAGAGATGAACTTAGGGAACAGGGCACTAGAAAGTATATTAGAGAAGCGCTACAAGAAAAGGAGAGAATTCCGGAGGCTGACACACCCCACGAAAAAAAAGCTAGCTGCCACAAAGAACAAAATGAGGCTTCGAGTCTTAACCTTGTATCTAGATTGAAGGAGAGAAAGTTTTCACAGTATGAGTGCGAACTGGAGAATTCATGTTATCTGTATAACCCAAGGGAGGAAACAGTGACCTCGGTGTATATGATGCCTCATCTTTGCTGTCAACTGGACTGCATTTAGAGTCACCAAGGAAATACCCCTAGCTGTACCTCTGAGGGGACTCCCAGAGAGTTTCAACTGGAGAGAGGAATCACCCTGAATGTTGGTATACCACAGCATGGTCTGGGGTCCTGGACAGAACCAGAAGAAAAAAAATATATTTATATTTTTTATATTTATATTTTTTATATATATAAATATATATAAAAATAAATATATATTAAATTTAATATATATAAATTTATATTTATATATATTTTATTTATATATATATAAGCAAATCCATAGATTTCATGGCATCTACATGAAAACACCAAAAACATTCTTCACAAAAATAGAGAGAGCAATTATAAAATTCAGCTGTAACCATCACAGATCCAGCAATCATCAGCAAAGGCAAAGCTATAGGCATCACATGACCTCACTTGAAAAATACATTACAAAACCATATTAACCAAAATAGGATGCTAGTGACAAAAAATAGCAAACACACACAAAGACACACACAAAGAAGCAGTAAGAAAGCACAGAAACTGATCAGTATAATTACAATCAGGTTAATTTCAAAAAAAGTACCAAGAATACCTAATGGAATTCTCTAATGAATAACGCTGGGGAGAAAGTACAAAAAACACAGAGAATAAAAGAATTTGACACTATTTCTCTCAACACAAACAAAACACAATGCAAAATGCATCACAACATGAAATTTGCAGGTAAACAGATGGAACTAGAAAAATCATCCTGAGTGAGCTAACCCAAGCCCAGAAAGACAAATATGGTCCTTTACGTATATATTATGGCTTCTAGTATTGTATCTTTAGTGGAATTCCTAAGTATGGGAATGAACAGATCTCTGTGTCTATCTCTACCTGTTTCTTCTGCCTTTTCTTGTACTCTTTTCTGCTTGAAATAATCCTCTTGTACATGGAAAGACTTGTCACTCAAACTGGTTTAAAAAACCATTGATTGGCCAGTAGTCAGCCAGAAGTCCAGGCAGGATGGCCAGACTAAGAGTGATGGGAAGGAAAAGGGCGGAGTCAGCAGTGACAAGCCAGATTCAGAGGGAGCAGGAGATGATCATGCCATGCTATTAAAGGTACTGCCATGTGGCAGAGTGTAAATAAAGAATATGAGTTAAACCAGGCAGTGGTGGGACAGGCCGTTAATCCCAGCACTCGGGAGGCAAAGCCAGGTGAATTTCTGTGAGTCTGAGGCCAGCCTGGTCTACAAGAGCTAGTTTCAGGACAGCTAGGGCTGTTGTTACACAGAGAAACCCTGTCTCAAACCCCCCTCCCCCCGCAAAAAAAGTAATTTGGGTTAAACTTTAAAAGAGCTAAATAGTAATAAGCCTAAACTATTGGCTAAGCATTTATAGTTATTTAAGACTCTGTGTGTTTATTTGGGACTGGGCAGATGGGACAAGAAATGTCCATCTGCACTTTTCCTTCTGTTTTGTTTTTTTTTCTATTTCAATATATTAGCTATTGTTTTACCTTATTATATTATTATATTTTATAATATAATATATTTATAATATTATTACATTTTATTTTATTATTACTAACCCTTACAAGATTGTTTGTTTTCTGATGAAAGACAGAAAGAGAACAGAACTGGATGGGAGGGAAGTTAGGGAGGAAATAGGGGGAGTAGAGGAAGGGAAAATCATCATCAGAATATATTATGTGAAAAAAAATCTATTTGCAATAAAAGGGAAAAATCACAACTCTACATGCAAGACCTGAAACTCAAGAAACTAGTATTTAATGCCCAGCAACTAACACATCTCTCTCTCTCTCTCTCTCTCTCTCTCTTCCTCTCTCTCTCTCTCTCTCTCTCTCTCTCTCTCTCACACACACACACACACACACACACACACACACACACTGAAGCCAATGATATAGGTCAGTGTTTAGATAAGATCACAAAAGCACAGGCAACAAAGGAGAATAAAACTATTATATCAAAGTACAAACTTGTAAGCATCTACAGGGGAAGGGAACAATCAACAGGGTAGACAACACAGAGAATGTGAGAAGTCAATATCTAGAGCATATAACAAATTTAAAAGTCAAATAGCTGGGGCTGGAGAGATGGCTCAGAGGTTAAGAGCACTGACTATTCTTCCAGAGGTCCTGAGTTCAATTCCCAGCAACCACATGGTGGCTCACAGCCATCTATAATGAGATCTGGTGCCCTCTTGTGGCATGCAAGCATTCATGGAAGGAATGCTATATACATAATAAATAAATAAATAAATCTTTAAAAAAAAAATAAATAAAAGTCAAATAGCAAAAAAAAAAAAACAAACAGGTAACTGGTTTTTAAAATGGGCAAATGATTTGGGACAAATAACTTAAATAGGTATTTCTCAAAGAAAAGATACAAAAGGCCCCAAAACATACAAAACAATGCATAGTATCACTAACCATCAGGATAAAGCAAATCAGAAGTAGAATGAGCTATCTGTCACCTCACCCAAGTATAATGGCTATTATCAAAGAAACAGAAATAACAAATGTCAATAGGAAAAGGAGAGAGGAACTCCAACATTTTTCAGTGAGAACATAAATTAACAGTCACTGTAGAAAATAATGCAAAGTTTCCTCTAAAAATATAACTACCACATAGCCTAGCAAACCTATTTATAATACAGTATATATCCAAAAGAAAGAAGTCATTATATCAAAGAAATAAATGCACTCCATTGTTTACTGTAGCATCAGCAATAGAGACAAAGACATGAAATCAAGCAAGGTAATCATCAAGAAATAAAAGTAGGTGTAAAAAAAGGTGGCACATATAAATAATGGAATATTATTGAGTCATGAAAAAGAAAGTTTGTCACTTGCACCATGGGAAGATATGGGAGGCTTCAGTTTAATAAAATAAGCAAGCAAAAAAAGACAAAATGAACATGCTTTCTTTCTTGCTCACTTGTGAAGTTAAACAAGTCATCAATAAAAGACAGTATTGGTCAGTACAGGCTAGAAAGTGTAAGAAGACTAAGACAGGTAAGAAGGAAGAGAATTTGGAAAAGGACCAGATATCACAAAGACAGGAAATAAGAACTAGATGTGGTGCTTCATGGAGCAATAAGGAACCTGCAGCTTAGAACTGAAACATGCAGAACAATAACGGGGAAGACTCTGACAAGTTTAAGGTCTTCAGAGGCCAGCATGCTGCTCAGCCTGGTTTCATCCTCAGGAAGTGCAAACATGCATGAAATACATACAAACATTATGCCCATTTCTGACATTTTGATTTTTCTTTTTAATGATCAAAGACGGAGACTTTAGAAGTTAATAGCCATAGACTAAGGATCAGCAAAGGATTATAAGCAGATTTCTCATCCAAATCTTTAAAGCCACAAGTTGTGGATTCACAGGTTCATAGCACTGAAAGAAGGGCGTGAACCATGAATCCCAAATCTGACAAGCTACATTTCAAAACTGAGGGCTAGATTAAGGTAGTTCCAAAGAATGGAAAACATACCCAGGTGATCACCACCAAACCTACCCTACAATAAAGACTAAAGAGAAACATCAGCAAAAATAACAAAGGATGCCAGGCAGCACATAAAAGACACGCCCAACAATAAAGCTCTGATTAAAAGATAAATGAACAATTATAAAATCTATTTCTATTCTAATTTTTGTATCTAGCTGTTTATAGAACTAAGGAATAAAATAGGCTACTCTATACTTGTATGCTTTTTACATCTAATCAAGTGCGTGTTTTTCTTTGTGCACATGCCATGACATGTGCAGAGGTCAAAAAACAACTCTCAGGAATCAGTTCTTTCCATGCAACATGTGTATCTGAGACTCAAGTTGGGACATTAGACTGTCAGTCTTGGTGACACCCACTGTATTTGCTAAACTATGATTGGCTATTATGAAATTTTGTGACATTAATAACTAAAAGGGAATGGTGACAGAGGTACACAACAATGAAACTTATTAATATGGTCCCATGAAGATAGCACAAATTCAATTAAATTATAATCTTAATGTATTAAATTTAACCTCCATAATAACCACAACCTCAAAGAAAATATCAAAAACTATATATATAGCTTACAAAATGAGATGAAAATCATTTCACTATCAAGCAAATAAAAGCTAAAGGAATAAATAAATAAAAGAAATGAGGAACAAACACTGGCAAACACATAAAAATTAATAGAAAAAGCTAATACAAAAAATAATGTATGTGCAGTAGCATGGACATGTTACGGCATATATATTGAGGTCAGAGGACAAATTCCAGGAGTTGGTTCTCTACTTTCCCCATGTGGTCCACGTAATCAACCTCAGGTCATCAGGCACGGCAGTAAGTGGCTTTATTTGGTGGCGTTATGTAATAATCTTAAAATGACAAAATTATACTGATGGGTAGTAAATTAGTGGCTGCTAGGGGTGAAGACAGGAAGAAGTGGATGATATCACAAAAAGTCTACATGAAAGACATTTGAAAATAAGAGTGTACTTGAAGCTCAGCTCTAACAGTGGCATCCTGAGACACTGCTAGAAAACCCACTGGAAGCACCACACACACGCACACACATGTATATACACACACACACACACACACACACACACACACACACACGATAAGCTATTAGCCTGATCTCACCACCACAGAATGCATACAGAATCAAAGCATCAAAACGTACCTTATAAAATATATAAAGATATGTCATGTATGTCATGATTTTTTAATTTAAAAAATAAATAAGTGTTTAAATAATATGCTTTTATTTTATATATATATACATATATACACACACTGTATTTGCTAATATTTCCTATCATATTGATTACTACTACCATTTGTGATTAATCTTTACTGTCAACTTAATGGGACTCAGAATCACCATAAAAACACTTTGGGTATGTCTGTGAGGAGCAGTGTAGATTAAGTTACATGAAATAGAAAGATCCAGCCTAGATTTGGGTGGCACCATTCCATGGACTGTAATTTTGGACTGAAAAAAAAAAGGGAAAGCAATCTAAATGTAAGTATTCATTACTCTCTGCTTCCTAACCCGGGTGACAATATGACCAGATACTTCCTATTCCTGTCATCATACCTTCCATGTCATGATGCACTATGAACCAACTGTAAGCCAAAATAAACCTTTTCCTCCAAAATGTGCTTTGGTGGGTATTTTGTCACAGCAATGAAACAAATAACTGATGCATTATAATTATTATTATTATCAACATCATTATTACTCACTCAGTATTAATTAAGACCATATAGTTAGAAAGCACAGCTTTTATCTTCTGGTAATGAAGGAATCAATCACACCAAACCAACCTATGTCAGAACAGGTCCGGGAATGTACTCGAGTAAGGATTCCGAGTGCCTATGAGAACATCCAAGAAAGCAAGACCAGAGTCTTATGACCTCAGTTTCTTTATAACTCAGAACTGTTCTTAGAATGTGTTTTCGTGCCCCTCCCAGGTATAGCAGATAAGAGTGAGTTCACTTCAAACTACTCATCATTGCTTGCTGTTGCTACTGAATTAAATGCTTAAATTACCTTTATATGCCTCTATAGAAAACTTCGTTTTTCAGGCTGGGCGGTGGTGGTGGTACACGCCTTTAGTCCCAGCACTTGGGAGGCAGAGGCAGGCAGATCTCTGTGAGTTTGAGGCCAGCCTGGTCTACAGAGTGGGTTCCAGGACAGCCAGGGCTATTACACAAAGAAACCCTGTCTCGAAAAACCAAGTGTGGGGGGGGGGAGATAGAAAATATGTTAATATGCTGTGTTTCCGAATTTAACAAAACTACTTCACACTGAACTATGTGTCAGTTCACTGAATATTGTCTTACTTATAAGGTTTTTCAGTTTTAACTCGTGTATCTTTTTCATACAGGCCTAAAATTTTTGTTGTTGATTCCTCAGGGTCAGGGGCATTGTGCCCTATGCCTATAAACTAAGCAATTGGGCAGCAGAGGTAGAAGAATCAAGTTTAGGACCAGCACGAGCTACTCTAGTTACTGCTCAGTTGTAGCTAAGAGACACCACTGGCAAGGCAACTTAGAGAAGGAAGGCTTTTTTTTCCAGTTTTTTGAGATAGGATTTCTCTATATATCCCTGGCTGACCTAGAACTGGCTCTGTAGACCAGGATGGCCTTGAACTCACAGAGATCCACCTGCCTCTGATTCCCAAGTGCTGGGATCAAAGGTGAGCACCACTGTGCCCAACTCAGAAGAGCTTAACTGGGAGCTTGCCTACAGTTTCAGAATATTATTAGTCCATGACCATTATGGTGGGGAATACAGCAATACAAGCATGCATGGCACTAGAGCAGGAGCCAAGAGCTTACATCTGATCAGCAAGACGGTGACCAAGAGACAGCAAAACAGACCCTGGCATGGGATTTTGAAACCGCAAAACCCACTCCCAGTGACAGACCTCTTCCTAAGGTCACAACCCCTAAATTAAACAATCAAAGGTACTCACTGATGGGGCCCTTCTCATTTCAACCACAAGAGCTCATAGTAAGTTTCAGACCTTCTTCAGGCAAAAAGTGACTGAAATCCTGACTCTAAATACAAACAAGAGGCTGAAGACATAGCTCAGTAGTGGAGAGCCTTTGCTGCTCTTCCTGAGGATCCAGGTCCCATGCCAGCAACCAAGTGGTAGCTTACAACCAGCCATAACTCCACTTCTAGGGGAACTGATGCCCTTTTCTGGCCAAATGTACACACATGGTGCACAGACTTAGATGCAAACAAAACACCCACACACACACAAATAAACTAATCTAAAACCAAAAGAAATCCTTCCTCAGCTCAAGAGCAGTTAGGAATCCTCCTGTCCTTCAAAGAGAGCACTGTTGCTTTGCTATTTACAATCATATACATCACCTAAGAATGAGGCTTCAGGAATACTTTCACAGACCTGGCATAGTGACTCACACCTGCAACCCTGGCAATTAGGAGGACTTCCTTAAGTTCAGGGCCAGCCAGAGCTATATGGTAAATCCCACACCAACCTTGGTTACAGAGTAAGACTGACTAAAAATAAAAAGCAAAGAAGAAACCTCTAGAATAAAGAAATGATGGGGGGAAAAAAATCAGTAAATTTGCCCTATCTTTTACCTCTAAATATTTCAACATGAAACTGTTCTACCTGTGCATAAGAACAGAAGTAATGTAACACTTTAGGCTTGTTGTTCACACAGCTTACTCAGGAAGGTTTTACTCACTTGTGGTCATGATGCTAGGAGGGCAAGAGGGTATCCCATGATCCACTGCCCATCTGTAGGCTCCTTCTCCAACTAAAAAGCTAACAACAAAAAAGTTATTCTTTTAAAAATACATAGTGTCATCTTCTGCAGTCAATAAGTTATAGAAATATATCACATGGCAATTATATATTATTATATATAGTCTGAGAGATACAAATAATTCTAGAGTTGGCACAAAATAAGACAACTGCATGCTCAAAGTTTCTTTTAAATTTTTCCTCATTAGAAGTGACTAATGCAGAAATTGGAAAAATATTAACACAATAAAAAGTGAAAGTAACTTCCTATGGAAAATAAGATCTTCCTTTGATCCACATGCCCATACCGTTTATTTTATGCAATCTGTTCAATCAGCTTAAGGGTCTAAACAAATGTCTTCAGACTTGTTATTTTTGTCTAGAACTAGATACACACAAACCCACTGGCATGCTGACACCCTAAGTTCAATGCAGCAAGAAGGCACATAGCATGCTCACAGTCATTTCCACTCTAGTGAGGAAATACTGAAATACATCCCAAAAGAGATTTTTCAGTCTTATAGTACAATCTTTAATATAAAAAAAGGGAACAGGACATTTCTGGTTTATGAAACACTAATTTCCAAAGACTTCAAAAAGCATGCCAACACAAGTAACAATCCTATTCTCTTAAGTAATTTCATGAGGCAAACAGTGATTGTAAGCAGCAAATTGCAACAATCACTTCATCTTCTTCCATAGCCTACTACTTAAAGATTCCAGCCAGCTAGTAATGGACCCCTTGAACATGTGCCTGGCTGTTAGCTTCTACTCTCTATTTTTCAGTTCTAATCATTCCCACATTAAAGTTCAAGAGCAGGGGCGGAGAAATCAGTGGAGAAGAATACCTCTGCTTTCGCAGAGGCCCACACTCATTTCCCAGAACCGACGCTCAGAGGCTCTCGATCACCTGTAACTCCAGTTCTAAGAGAACTGACTCTATCTACTGATGTTTGAAGAGACCTGGATTCATGTGCACTTCCACAAAAACAGACATATGTAAAAATAACTTTCAAAACTATATTAAAACAAACATCAAGAGTAATAACTATTAAAGTCTTTATATTCAGTTATCACTAACACTAGCAGGAATTCAGCATTTCAATGCAATGATAACTACCACAAAGCAATATTTGAGCTAGGCAGTGGTGGAGCCACCTCTAATGAGAGCACTCAGGAAGCAGAGTTAAGCACAACTCTGTGAGTTCGAGGTCACCATGGTCTACAAAATAGGTTCCAGAACATCCAGGACTACATACAGAGAAACCTTCTCAAAAAAAAAAAAAAAGAAAGAAAGAAAGAAAGAAAGAAAGAAAGAAAGAAAGAAAGAAAGAGCAAATAATATCTGATAATACAAAAAGGTCACATGTTTAGAAATTATATGGCTTCCACAAAAGTGATTCAAATAATCACTTTTCTATGAATACTTTAAAATGCCTGAGATAGTTAAAAATCTGCAGAAATTAAATACTAAAAATCTCAGTAGGCACCCTGAAAGATAACAAATGTTATCAAAGGATAGTTAAAGAGATTAATTCCAGTAACCGTTTTCTTTACATTAAGACTACAATGGAGCAGGGTGGTGGTGGCACATGCCTTTAATCCCAGCACTTGGGAGGCAGAGACAGGCAGATCTCTGTGAGTTTGATGCCAGCCTGATCTACAAGAGCTAGTTCCGGAACAGGCTCCAAAGCTACAGAAAAACCCTGGCTCGAAAAATCAAAAGACTTGAATGGAGAGAACACTGAAAAAGAAAGAGGAAACAGCCAACAGAAATTTTCAAATTCATGTAACAGTGGTCACTACAAATAAAAGCTGTCACATGAAAATCAGAGAAACTAAAACAAAGCTTAAGTGTAAAATCTGAGCCATCATTATACCACCTTTAGTACTTCCTCCTCCAGGGTGGGGGGGAGAACTTGATTTAAGACTTTCAATTAATGCAAAAAAGTAAACTACATGGTGAATATTAAGCGATCATGGCAGAAATCTGGGATGAACCTGGAGTGTAACACTCCAGATAGTCATCTAGGATTCAACCTCAGTGTCTAGAATCTTTGTTATTTGATGTACAGTTCTTAATTTTTCATTCTTTCACCATTCATAATTTTGACATAAATAAAACCTATGTAGAGCATGAGAATGTGGCTCAGTAAAGTGCTTGCCTGCTGTGCTGTCATCTAAGGGGAGGGAACCACCATTGAGAAAAATGCCTCCATAAGATCAGGCTATAGGCAAACCTGGAGGGCATTTTCTTAATTAGTAATTGATGGGGAAGGGCCCAGCCCATCATGGGTGGTGCCATCCCTGGGCTAGCAGTCCTGGGCTCTACAAAAAAGCAGGCTGAGTACAGAGAGAGTAAGCCAGTAAGCAGCACTCCTGCACGGCCTCTGCAACTGCCTCCAGGTTACTGCCCTGTGTGAGTTCCTGTCGGACATCCTTTGATAATAGACTATGATGTAGAAGTTTAAACCCTTCTTCACCAAGTTACTCTTGGTCATGGTGTTTCATCATAGCTGTAGTAACCCTAACTAGCACACCCAGTATGCATGAAGTTCTGAGTTTGATCCCTTGATCCACATAGTTAGTGAGTTGAGGCCAGCCTGGAATAAATGAAAATTTGTCTCAAACTTTGATATCATCTACATAATTCTTAAACATTTTAGACATTTTAAAATATTAATATTTAGAAGTCACTTATAGATACTATAAAATATACTAATAGGTAGCCTTTGCTTACCATCGAATGTTGTCTAGGAATTTACCATCACATGAAATGCCATATAAATGTTTTTGATATCATTTCAATGTAAAATTTCTGCAAAGTATTTATATGTATGTAAAACAATACATACACATATATACTAATATGTATAAATTAAAAAAAATCACTTTTAAGAACAGCAAGTACCAACCCTAACTTCCTTTGAGATTTGTTCTGCATCTCCTTTTTAAAGGAGGTTTGTGCAAACCCGTTAGAAAACATTAACTCTACTACAGTAAGACATGCCCACCACTGTCCTTCCTTCATCTAAACCTCAACTATCCAGTTACACTGACCTCCCTGATACTGTTTCTGTGCCGTGGATACACCCACCCCAGCCTACTCCAGTCAATTTTCAGTCAAACTAGTCATGAAAATCATTGCAAAACACAAGTCAGAACTCATGTCTAGTTAGCACTGTTACTGAAGCCACGAACCTGACATTAGGTAGGTCATGGGACCTAAGAGAGAACCTACTACGAATATTCTACTAGATGAACATAACACTAAACCAACACTCAAAGACTTGGCACCATACCCATGGGCAAGTGCACCGCTCAGCCCTCATCAGAAAAGCTTATTGTTGCAATAGATGGCAATTAACAGAATAACCCCACAACTGGTTGCCATGCAGACACTACAAGAAAGCAAGGTGTTCAACCCTAAATGTAACATCTACATTATACTCTTCTTTTAAGTTTCAGGGACCATCTCATATTCATCTGGAAGGAATATAAGGAGCCAGATGTACTGATGACTACAACTAAACAATGTCTTCTGGAGACAGCAGATAGTTGTACATATGAAAAGACAGCAACTGTGACAACATGCACATGATCTTCATGAAATAAAGCCAGACAAAATTCAAGAATAAAGTGGGGAGGTGATCAGAAAATTCCACTCTTAGCTGAGAAGCTATTGCCAACTGATAGCTTCTTGAAAGGGAAAGTCAGTTCTGTAAAGGGTTATAGTCCCTGACAGGCTATCCATGTTCTAGTAGATAACCCAGGCATTAAGTAGACACTGTGAATTTAAAGAAGAAAACACGTGAGATTGAAGGAAATGGGGAAAAGGGTTCAAGGGAAGGGAGAGAACGGTAGAATAGACCAAAACACATTATATTCATATACAAAATTCTCAATAATAAAATAATGGTACGAGAGAAAATACTAGGCACTGAATTTTAAAAAAAAAAGTCTATCATTTCGTTGTGCATTATAAACACATATAGCTGAAGACAAATCAGGCTACTTAATACTTACTTAAAGCTCATGAATATAAAGTGCAAGAGCTCACGGCACAAGGAACATGCACAAAACTAACAAAATCTGAATTTGTGTAGGGGATGATGTGAATATATGTAATATGTATGATATATGCAATGTGTATGTAATTGTGTGATGTGTGTGGGGGTCTATGTAATGTATGTGATATGTGTATATGGTGTTTGTGTAATGTATATATAATGTGTGTGTAGCATTGTGTAGTATATGTAATGTGTGTGGTATGTATAATGTGTATGCAATGTGTGTGATTTGTAATGTGTGTGATATGTGTGTAATGGATGCAGTGTGTGTAATGTGTATGCAATATGTGTGTAATATATGTGATGTCTATGTGGTATTCAGTGTGTGAGATGTCTGTAGGAAGTGAAATGTTGTGATATATGTGTGATGTGTATAGTATGTGTTCATGCACCCATGCAAAGACATGAAGAAGCCAGAGGTCGATGCCAGGTGTCTCTCTATCTTTTTCTATCTTCTATTTTTGAGTTAAGGTCTCTCAGTGAACCTCCAGCTCACCATTTCAGGAAGACTGGCTAGTTAGCAAGCCAGGGATTCAGCTGTTTCTGTGCCACTCCCTGAGCAAAGGGATTACACACATGCACTACCATACAGGACTTTTACTTGGATGTAATGACTCATGCACTTTACCCAAGTGAGTTAACTGCTGAGGATTCTTAATTTCTAAAAAAAGGAAAATTTCAAAAATATATGACCAATTTGACATTTATGTCCTCCAATCTGACAAAATCCATATTCTGAAATCCAATTCTGAACATTTTAGGATGGTGTTAGGAGGTGTGGCTTATGAAGGGGTGACTGACTAGGTCCCGAGAGAGCTGCACTGAACAGGTGAGGGTCCCGTGGATTCCACTGTCTTCTCACCATATGACTCAGCTGGGAAAACTAAACCCTCACTGCACACTACAGCTGCTAACTTCTTTACCTTAATGCACCTTAGCTTTAGAACTGTC